CGCGCGGGCCCCTGGGCGCCGCGCTGGGGGTCGCAGAGGCGGCGAGGGAGGCTCAGCCCCTGCCCCGCGGGTCCCCCAGCGCTGCGGAAACTTGCCGGCCCCGCAGCGGGGTCACGGGGCCGCGCGCCCGCGGTGACAACAGTGCTGCAGCGCAGCGGGCCGGGCCAGGGGTCCAGGCTGCGCCCCCCGCGCCGGACGGGGCCCGGAGCACCCGCATCCTGATTCCCTCCGCGGCGCCCGCCGGCGGCTCTGCGCTCGCATTGGCATTCCGCTCGTGTCGCTTTTTTTTTTTTTTTTTTAAATCCAATCTGCTTGGGCAGCGGAGAAGGGGGAAAGGCGACTCTCCTGCTTTTGCCCGCCCGCAGGACCCTCCTGCAGCCCCTTCTGCGGCCGAAACCCCCTGCCTGCAGCCCTACGGGCGACCCTCCGCGGGAAGCGCTGGGAAGGCGGCCCGGGAGGCGGTGGCGACAACAAGTGGCCGGATTGGGCAGCTCGGTCGGTCGTGATAGCCAAGCCTTGAAGGGAAGGACGGAGGGGCCAGGACTCAGACGCCCCCAGCCTCTGCGCCCCGGGGTTGGGCGGGAGTCTCCGAGAGAATGCGCTAAGAGAGAGGAGAGCAGGGCCGGGGGTGTCCTGTGGGCCTGGGGAGTCCGGAGCGGCCTGCGGGGCTCTGTCTTTCTGGGTTGGAGGGAGGTGCTCTTTCCTTCCCCAAGACCTCCTGGTCCCCATGTGGTGGTGGGATCTCTGTCTCAGGGGAATCTTGGCCCCCTGGGGTCTGGTTGTTTGCTGTTGGAGGAGGAGTGGGGACAGCCTAGGGACTGGGTCTTTCAGGGTACCTTGGGTTGGGGGGACCTCAGTGAGGTCCTGGGGCTTTGTGAGAAGCACTGTATGGGGGCCATCTGAAAAGTCAGTATGGCCCGAGAGATGCAGGCAGGAGGGCGATGTGGTGGGGCAGCCTCCCCTCGTCCTGGAGCCCTAATAGGGACAGAGCCTGGGGGAGTCAGACTGTGTTGGAGGAAGATTCAGAAGGAGAAGGCAGCCCCCCCACCCCCCACTGCACCACAGGCCACAAGCCATCTGCTCTTCACCAAGTCCTCCGTGGTCCCTAGTCGTGGGGAGAGCCAAGGAGAAGGGTTTGTGTTTGTGATGAACAGGCAGGTGGATGGTTACCGAGGCCCTGAGTTACTCATCCCAGCTTCCTGCCCAGCTAGGTGGATACCAGCTGTGGGGAGGGGACTGAGGAAAGAAGGGGTGACAGGAGTGAGAGGGCAGGGGTAAGGCACAAGCCATCTCTCCCCTACCTTTGTCCCCTCCTGTACTGGGCCACCCCCTAACCTCCAGCCCCTTTTCCCTCCTAATAGCCCTTTACCCTAGACACATGAAGGGGGTCTGCATGTCCCTCTGCCACTCATTTCATTCCCTTCCCCTGCTCCAAGCCATCCCCATCTTGACCCTGGCATCGTCACTCCAGATCTCCCTGGGTCCCTCTTCTGACTCTCAGTCCTGGGGTGCAGGCCATGAGGAAGAGGGAAAACTGTAAGAGGGCCAAGAGCAGGGGTGAGGAGGGCAGGGGGTGGTGGTGCAGGGCTAAGGAGGCTGCGGGCTCCTCTCAGGCCTCCTGGTGGCGATGCTGGCAGGCACCCAGCGGCGTTAGTCACCAGCCACACCAAACTCCATCCCTGTTTCTCTCCTGTCCTGGGAAGTGGAGGGGCGCTGGTGCAGGGGGCATCTGAAGGGCAGGGCCCACCCTGGGGCCAGGCACTGGTCCCCTAGGGCGCTGTGGCTACGGGTGAGAAGTTCTTCACCACAGTTCCCTTTCTTGGCTGCAGGCACCTCGAAAAGCCCTCCTCTCTGAAGACCAAGCCTCAGCGGATCTGGACCCCCAGATCCCCTGTGGAACTTGACTGCGTTGTCTGGGTGGAGAGGGTGACCAGCCCTGGCCCAGGTCCCCCCTTAGGACCCTACCCTTCCAACTATCCCACTAATGCCCCTCACCCCAAAGCAGTGTGAGTAAGGCCCACGTCCTTTCCTGGGAGGGTGCCCACTGGTGGGGGAGCTGTGCCTCGCGTGCCAAGAAAAGGGAGCCCAGCAGCTGGGGACGGAATACTGCAGACAGTACATGCCGCAGGAATCTGGGGGGCAGTTTGTCTAAGTGAGTGGGAGGAGGACGGGGGTGGGGAGGAAGGGAGCGTGGAGTTCTGATGTGAGCATCCTGGCCAGGCAGCGCCAAGTTCAAGTCTCTGTGCTCTGGACTCACAGAGTGACCTTGGGCCATCCTTTGCCTCTTTGACCTCAGTTTTCCCCTATGTAGAAAGGAGTCAGCATTGCCCCTCCATGAGACTGATGACAGGGTATGGGGGAAGTGCTGAGCACGGGGCCGGGCAGATGGTGGGCGCTTGGGGATGTAGACACACAGAGGGGGATAAAAAGAGCTGGAATGTGTAGGGACGGGGCCAAGTCCTTCAGATTAGGGCAAAGGTGTGTGGGAGGCTGGGCCAGAAGGACAGAGTGGGGTTCAGGAGTTGGTGGACATAATTTGGCAAAATGGGCCAAGTAGCGGCTAATTGGTCCTTGTGAGAAGGCAGCGACTCCCTTCATAACACCCACAAGGGCTAGGACAGCACACAGTAGAGACCTACAGAATCCTGGGGCGGGCTGGTGTGACCTGAGCAGACACCTTAGGGAGCCTGTAGAATCCTGGGGCTGGTTCCCATTTCCTGAGCAGACGCCTTAGGGAGCCTGCAGAATCCTGGGGCTGACCCCGGTGGCCTGACAAAAGCCTTAGGAGCCTGCAGAATCCTGGGGCTGGTCCCTGTGGCCTGAGCAGAAGCCTTAGGGAGCCTGCAGAATCCTGGGGTTGCCTGGGGTGGCCTGACAGAAGCCTTAGGGAGCCTGAAGAATCCAGGGGCTGGTTCCCGTTTCCTGAGCAGAAGCCTTAGGAGCTTGCAGAATCCTGTGGCTTGAGCACCTAAGAAGGGATAGGAAGGGATGACTCTGGAGCAAGAGGGACAAAGAGTCACACAGGCAACTAGCCACCCAGGCAAGGTTCCAGAGGTGGCCCTTGACCTGCTCAGTCAGTGTAGTTGAAAGTGGGCAAACGAGGACCTTGTGGGCAGGTGAGAGGGAGCTGCATTCTTAGCCCTTTTCCTTGCAAGTAGAGAAGCCACCTTAGTATATAGCCCAGAAGCGCAGGGTGGCCAAGCATGGGGCCTGGGATGAGTGCTATGGACAGCACATCTTGGTAGAGGACAGTCACTGCTACCCCTAAAAACCTTAAGCCCATGGGGTCCCCCTGCTCATCTCAGCGCCACGAGTTGGGGGAGAGCTATGAGCTTAGAGAGTGTCAACAGGATGTGGTGGGAGGGGAGGGTGGCATTCTGGAATATAGGTGGCTCTCTCTGCCAGCTGCTCCTGGTCAGGCCACCCCATGCCAAGAGGGAGTGGGGACCAGAGTGAGGCTTTCGGGGAAATGTGCCCAGACTTCAGCGACCAGCAGGAGTCACGTTCCCATTTCACAGACGAGGTGCTGGAGCCTCAGCAGAGGTCACGTGGCGGCCTTCGCCAAACCCAAATCCCAGCTCAGCTTCCTGTCCCAGTGCCAGCCCGGATGCCAGTGAGAAGGACGCCAAGCGTCCCTAGCTCACCCAGTCCTCCTTCTCCTTCCGGCTCTGCCATCTGAGCCGATCTGATTTATGGTGTCCTGCTCAGAGCCAGGCCAGCTAAACGCTCACGTGTCTAGTTCCCGTTCAGACCCCTCGCGGCCCTGTTGTCCAGGTGAGCAAATAAACACTCGCCTAAGGCCGTTTGACCAGGAGGTAGGAGAGCTGGGATTTGAACCTGGCTCTGTGTGACTTGGCGTGCAACCCCCTCCTTGGCCTCCATGGTGGGTGGGAGTCGGCTGGGGTTGGGGCAGCGTGTGTACGACGGAGCGTGGCTTAATAGACACAAGGACCCGGAGATGCGTTTACCTAGTGTTCTTGGGAGGATAGCTCACCCCAAGAAACAGCCCCTTACGGTTGCCCACACACCCCACATGGTGCCCTTTGCTTCTTGTTAGGTGCTGTCGAATCAATTTCAATTCCTAGTTGACCCCTGTTCACAACGAAACGGGACACTGCTGGGTCCTGAACCCTCCCCACCTTTGTTACTTATGTGTGAGCCCATTATTACTGCCGCTGTCCGTCCATCCCGTGCAAGGGTCTACTTCTTTTTCACTGACCCCCTAATTTAGCATGATCAGGGACCGGTCCCTATGAAAACATGTTCAAATTAAGTGGAACAAAGTCTCGCCATCCTTGCTTCTAAGGAGCATTGCGAGATGTACTTCTTCCAAAACTCATTGCTTCCGTCCTGCATTCTTTGACTTCCCTTTGCCCTACACATATCCCTGGGCTCTCTGGAAGGGGTCAGGGGCACTGTGGGACAGCCTGGACTCCAGCTCATGCAAAGGGAGGGGTCAGCTCCCACTATTGCTCCTGCTGTGGGTCCAGGGCTTGGCCATCCACCCCGAAACCCCCAAGCGAACACTGAGCCTGCTTGAGCTCTGTGCTGTGAACCTGTTTTGGTTCATAACAACCCGCCATTGGCTTCCTGGCTGTAAATCTTTACACAGTCTTTACTTCCTGTAAATCTAAACCTGTTCTTCCTCATCTTCCTCCCAGGAAGTGGCTGGTGGCTTTGAACTGCTGACCTTTTCTGTTAGCTGCCTCTAGGTTACTCACCTTCTTCAGGTTTCTCTTCCTGAAACCAGCCCCCAGTTCCGTCCAGTGATGCTCCTCTCACCCCACCCTCACTCGATCTCCCTCTCTGGACAGTGGAAATGGTTCAGTGGCCAAACCTTCAGGTTGGGAGACCTGGCTCTCATTCTGGCCAGTGCCCTTCACTCAAACCACTCCTCTCTGTTAGTGGAGGTTTCCGTGTTTGCTGTGATGCAGGCTTCAGAGAAGTTTCCAGACTAAGATGGGGTAAGGCAGAAAGGCCTGGCAGTCTCCTTCCAAAAATGAAAACTGTGAACCACCGTGGTCTGATCTGTGATTGTGTAGGTGGCACAGGATCAGGCCGTGTTTCGGGCTCCTGTCTATGGGGTTGCATGAATCCAGTTGATGTGATGGTAGCTAAACAGAAGCAGGTGACCCATGGAGTGGGTGAGGTGGGGAGCTCCGGGGGGCTGGACTAAGGGTACAGCAATATCCTCAACTTCCCCTTCTTCAAGCTTTTGGTTTGCTTGGGGCTGGAAGCAGGGGCTTTGCCCTTCTCAGGATGGATTACAAATGAAGAGGAAACGGGCTTTATGCAAAGAGACACATCAACTGTTAGCTCCCGTCTCCAGGAGCTCAGATGGGTGGGCTTCCCCAAGCCAGGCATTCGTTCACTTCATTGCCAAAGCATTCGGCAAATGTCCCTGCTTGGACAGTAAGCGCTGTTCAGGGAATGTGGACACAGATGTAACGCAAACCTCCTGGCTGGGATGACCAGTGTCAGGACACGGAGCGTAGGAGCCCTGGCAGCGCAGAGGAGGCCTTGAATCAAGAAAGGTCTTAGGGAGACGGTGGTGTTGCTTGAGCTGAGAACCTTGATGCCAACCAAGTTCACCATTAGAAACCCAAAACTCGAGTTGGAACAGACCGTCCCGAGGGTTCTCAGAGGCTGTCAGTTATACAGGCAGAGATTGCTCATCTTTCTCCCTCAGAGCCCATGGTGGATTTGAACCTACCATTTGGGGGTGAGCAGTGAGGCTCCTGTAGACTGCAATGTCAGAGCTCCCTAAGTTTTCCAGAGTGAAAGCAAAAAAGGGCATCTTTCTCACAGCCCTGAAGGAGCTGTGATCCTGGGGCCCACCAGCACTAGAGGGGCCCCAAGGATGGAGTTCAGGACCCCCAGTGTGGGTAAGAACTTGACTGGCTCTTAGGTAAGGATTTGTGCTGCCAGCCCAAAGGCACGCAGTTCTAATCCATCAGCTCCATGGAGAAAGATGGGCAGTCTCCTCCTGTGAAACTGACAGCTTTTAAAAACCTCCTGGAGGGTCAGCTATGTTGGTTCTGACTAGATGGCACAGAACTATCAGGTGAGTAAAGCTTGTGCCTGGGCAGGAGGGGCGTCACCACCAGGCTGAAACCCAAATGGGGGGGGGGGCTGGGCATGTACGTGCGTATGCAGCCAGTGCCTAGGTCCCTCAGCAACCTCAAAGCTGCCAGCCTCTGCTTACACACCTTTGGTGATGGGAGAGCTCACTGCTGTCTTGGCAGCTCAGGAGAGCACCAGGTGGGAGTTGGCCTGCCATTCCCAGTTCTCGGCCTTGTGGCTAGGAGGCCAGCTTGTCAAGTGGTCTCCGGGACAGGCAGTTTTGGGGTGAGCAGGCCTAGCGATGCAGGGAACTCAGATGTGGTGCTCCATCTGGACATGGATGTCCATCTGACCTCCAGGCCTCAGGTGCAGATGCCTGGTGAGAAATGTGTCATGGAGTTGGGGCCTTGGCCATGTTGTGTGGCTTGAGACATGTGATCACCTTCTCTGAGCCACAGCTCCCATGCCTCTCAGATTGGGGAAGGATCCCACATGCCGTTTCAGGGGTTCATGGGCCTCCGAGGTCCAGCCTTGGGCCAGCCTACCTCCTGTTTCCTCCAGAGACAGCCCTGCTCCCACATTGACCCTGGGAAGACCCCCTATACCCTCTGGGCCTCAGTTTCTCCAATCACAATACAGAGTATCTCATCTGTCTGCAGCATGAGATTGTATCTGCTGAAACCTTGTCCAGGGAAGCAGCTCAGGCAAAGGCCAGGAGGCTGGTCAGTAGATAAGGAGACCCCCAGGGAGCTGCAGCAGAGAGGCCTGGCATCTGGGGAGGTGCTTCCCTGTGCTGACTGGAGGCTGAGGCTGTGCACTGGTTGGCACCATGGTCTCATGGGGCAGGAGTGGTGGTCCCTGGGGAGGCATGTCAGGCCTCTGCTGGGGTTGAGTGATAATAAAGGCTCACAGATTAAACCGACAAGACAGAGTGGCGCTCCTTCATAGTTTCTGGGTGTTCTTGGTAAAAGCTGTTGGCATAGCCCCACGTTGTTGAACCAGTCGCTGCCCAACTGGCTCTAATGCATGGTGACCCACGTGTGCCACTGTAGAACTGTGTGCTGTCGGCTTTGCAGTGGTTGATTTAAAAAATGTGTGTGTGTGTGTGTGTGTGTGTGTGTGTGTATTTATATTTCCAGAGCCTTTCTCCCAAGATGCCTCTGAGTGGCTTTGAACCTCTGACTTTTTTGTTGGCTGCTGAGTGCATTAACTCCGAGTGTGTCACCACCCAGGGACTGCTCCACAATGTCCATTTATTTTCCTGTGGCCGAGACAGAGGCCACCAGGGTGCTCCTTGGAGGAAAGGGTGGTGACGTTTCATCTCACCAGGTTTGGGGCATGTTGTCAGGAGAGCCCTTGGGAAAAGGCCAGCATGCTGGGAAGGGTGGAGGATCGGGGAGGAAGTCCCTCCACAGGAGAGACTGACACCGTGCCTGGAAGAGTGGGTGTTGCATGTCAGAGATGGAGAAGATGGCACAGGACAGGGCAGGGTCCATCCAGATCTGCTGGTCATGAGGCCGCGGCGAGTCACCTAACAAGACCGAGGCTGGCCCAAGGTCACACGTTGAGTTGTTGGATTGGTCTTAGGCACTGAGCTCTCCCTATCCCTGTGTTCCTCAATTTCCCTCTCTAAACAGTGGGGCCAGGGTGACTGTCCACATCTGAGCCGGGCCGGGCCAGGCCAGGTGGGGTGCCTGCAACTCCCACCTTCGCCTTCCCCCAGACCTCAGGCTTCGGGAGGCAGTGCGTACCAAGCTGTCAGCTCATTAGGCCCAGCCGCTGCTACCTCAGGTAGCTGCCATTAGCGACTGCTGGCTGGTGTTAACGAGCTGGGCCCACCCCAGGAGGTAATGCAGCGGCTGGGGCTGGGCGGTGCAGGGAAACCTCTGCAGTTCACAGCCCTGACCCAGGGAGTCCGGTAGGTTCCTGCTGAGGGCTCCAGGGTACCCCTAAACCAGGATCATCGTCAGTGTGCCGGGGAAGCTGGCATTGCGGGCCCTGGCACTATCCAGGCCTGGGCACCCCTTTACTATCAGATCAACCTGGAGGTTCCAGGGGCACTGGAAGTGGGTGTCGGGGCAGGGCTGACTCTAGACATCTCTCTGCTCCTCCCAGAGATCCGAGAGGCCTTCAAGGTATTTGATCGAGATGGCAACGGCTTCATCTCCAAGCAGGAGCTGGGCACGGCCATGCGCTCCCTGGGTTACATGCCCAACGAGGTGGAGCTGGAGGTGATCATCCAGCGGCTGGACATGGATGGTGAGCCCTGGCTTCGATGTCCTTGCCTGTCACCTGGGCAGCGTGGGGCATTTGGGGCCTGAACCCCTGAGGCCACAGCCTCTACTTCTGGCTGACCTCACCCTGGGACTCTCACTGCCCCACCATGTGAGCCACCCCAAAGCTCATGTCATGTTGTGGTTGGGCCTGGACCCATTTCTCAGCCTGGAGAACTGAGGCCAGAGAGACTGGGTAACCCAGCGCTGCCTAGGGGCTGTAGAGGCTGCCCTTTTCATTCTCTATGCAAAGAAATTTTAAAAGTAGAGAAAAACAGTGTATAATAACCATTCAATAATAAAAATCATTGGTCTTATTTACCCCTAGCATTTTACAAAGGATCACTAAGAACGGTCAGTGGGGCATGTCCTCACCCCTTCGCCGCCCCCTCACCTCCCTGTCCCGAGCAGATGGAGCCCTGTGCAGGTTACCATCTGTTAAGCTCCACGTCCCGTGTCTGGGGTACTCGGGCCTCGCACCCATGAGAGACAGTAGCAGCGTTTGCTGTGGTGGGTTCAGAGTAGAATGAGAGTCTCCTGTGGGCCGGCCCTGTTCTGAGTCAGGGCTCCGCTGGTCCAGGCTGCCCACTGACTGGCGCTGTGCCTGCCCTAGGTGACGGCCAAGTGGATTTTGAGGAGTTTGTGACCCTCCTGGGACCCAAGCTCTCCACCTCAGGAATCCCAGAGAAGTTCCACGGCACCGACTTTGACACTGTCTTCTGGAAGGTATGTCCTGGTTGGCTGGCCCCAGGCGTGGGCACGCCATGGAGCGTCATAATGGGGCCAGAAACGGTCCAGCCCACGCTGTAAAGGATGTCCACGAGGGTCCATCTGTTGGACATACGCCCCCTAGTGGGCTCCCTAGGCGGGAGGAGAGGGTGCTGGTGGAGGACTGAGCATGGAGTGAGTGAATGGGTCCCAGCCCTCCAGAATCTGCACTGGTTGGGGGATACTGGGCAGGGGTGGTGGCTTTGGGGGTGGCCAGAGCCCTGTCTCCCCACCAAGTGCGACATGCAGAAGCTGACGGTGGACGAGCTGAAGCGGCTGCTGTACGACACCTTCTGCGAGCACCTGTCTATGAAGGACATTGAGAACATCATCATGACGGAGGAGGAGAGCCACCTGGGCACGGCTGAGGAGTGCCCGGTGGACGTGGAGAGTGAGTCACGGGGCCCACGGGGCGGGGGAAGCCAGGGCTCGGCGGGGGGCTCCGGGGACCTCCCGGCCTGCGAGCTTCAGTGTCCCTGTGTGCCCTGTCTTGTCTCTCCCACTCCCCGCTGGCCACAGCCTGCTCCAACCAGCAGATCCGCCAGACGTGCGTGCGCAAGAGTCTCATCTGCGCCTTCGCCATTGCCTTCATCATCAGCGTCATGCTCATTGCGGCCAACCAGGTGCTGCGCAGTGGCATGAAGTAGGCCCTGGCGGGGACCCACCCCGTCTGGCGCATGCGGTGCACGGGGCTCGCTCCACACCCACTGCCGCCTGCAGCCTGTCCTCCCTCAGCCGGCTCCTGGGCCGCCCGCCGTCACCGAGTACTCTCAGGGCCCGGATGCTGGCAGCCCCCACCTGGGCCTTGCATGGAGCCACGGCCTGCTGAGGAGGGCCTGGTGGCAGCTCCGAGGACTTCTCTCAGCCCTGCCTGCACCCCTGCTCTGCCCGTGTCCCCCACACCCGGCCTGTATGTAGCACTAACTCTTCCCGCTGTCTGGTGGCTCTTGGGAAATTAAGGAATTTGTGCAGGAGCCCCAGAGCCCTAAAGATCAGAGGGGCACTCTGTCCTCAGAGAGGGTAGCCACCTGTCCAGGGTCACACGGTCATTGTGGCCCACACCCCTGTGGTTAGCCAGCCTCCTCTGGACGAGGGTCGGGGGCCAGGGTCTCCCTGGCATTCCCTCCCTGGCATGGCCTGAGCAGGCTGGGGTCACTGAATTAGTCCGTTTTCACAGATAAGGAGCCTGATGCTCAGAGGTTTGGCCTCAGTTCCCCCTTCAGCAGGGATCTTCCCGAGGGCAGGTCATGTAGGATGAAGCATTAGAGGTGGGCCTTGGAGCCCCCACCTCCTGGGTCCTTCAACCCGAGGGCTACATCAGCCTCACTCCCACCCTAGCCAGAAGCTAGACCGGAGGCAGAGTTCTATAGGCTCCAAGAGGCCTGAGCCGCCTGTGTGACCACCGCTGGCCAGAGGCTTATCCAGGGTAGAATTCCTGGAAGGACCCGTGCCACCCCCAGGCCAAGGGACCACCCAGGAAGCTTGGGTAGGCCTCTTCCAAGTGTAGGGCCTGCACTCCTGGCTCCCTCCTTCTCTAAGCCCCAAGACAGAGACCCTGTTCACGCCCTGCCCGCACTGAGCCACCCCACGTGCTTGGCACCAGCAGAAGGGGGGCTGCCAATCTGCTGGGCTGGAAAAGGAGGTGGAGTCACTTCTCAGCAGGGCCCGGCTGGCCTTGACTCTGCCAGTCCCCAAGGAGGAGCCCCTCTCATTCCAGCCCTGCCCACCCTACCCAGGGCCAAAGACCGGAACTACGATTGGTGACAGACTTTATCAACATCTTACATGTCCTGGGAGGGAGGAAGGGAGTGACGCCACCCAGCTCTTATGAGAGGAAGCGTGGCCCCTGGTGGGGATCCCGAGTCCCATCCATCAGTCCAGGCTGTGGTTTCAGGGGCTCTGTGGGGGCCTCCCTAATTCCTGTCTTTGCTATGAGAAGATGGCAGGAAAGGGCTCAGCCCCATTGGACGTTGGGCTGCGGGGGCCACCCTCCAGGCGGGGGTGCCCTCAGGGATGGTGGCAGCTCCTGGACCGGCGGCCAGCCCATGGGGTACTGGAAGATGGTGGTGCTGTCGGGTTCAGCCCTAGAGAGAAAAGAAGACAGGGAGACAATTAGGTTGGGAGGTGGCCTTTGTCCACATCACAGGGATAGTGCGGGGAGAGGTGGAAACCAATGACTTCACCTCTCGGGACTGAACCCCAGGGAAGAACTGGGTCATGGGCAGAGATCTGTGAGTGACAAGCATGACAACCTCTAAATGAAATAACCTCGGTGTCCACCTGTGGGGGGCGTGGGTGACCACGTTACGCAGCCCATGGCAGAGGCCCCCTCGGCCTGTGTGGAGTCCTGCCTGACTTATATGCACTGACCAGGGAAGACGTTATGACGTACGATGTGAGATGGGAGAAAAAAAAAGCAGCTTATAAAATAATGTATATAGCATGACACTATTTTTGTTTAAAGATATATAACATATATAAATGCATAAAAAAATCCTGAACGAGACAACAAAAGGTTAATAGTGTTTCTATTGGAGTGGTGCGATCATGGTTGATTTTTAAACTTTATACTTCTTCCAGTCGTTTCTTACTCACAGGGGTCTGAGTCTATAAATCTTTATGGGAAGAGACTCCCCGTCTTTTTCTCTTGGAGCAGCTGATGGACTTGAACCTTTGTGTTAGCAGCCCAAAGTGCAATGCAGTACATAGACCACAGGGTCCTAACAAGAAGGCCTTTCCTCTAGAGGTGATGTTGTTATGTCCCATTGTGTCGGATCTGATCCATAGCTGACCTTTCAGCAGGTGTTTAGAGGCATTTACTCTCACAGGAAGAGACTGCCCCTCCTCCTGCAGAGCAGCTGGTGGGATTTGCACTGCATGCCTTCTGGATTGCAGCGCAGCTTCTTGCCACTAGGCCACCAGAGCTCCCCCTAAACTTTATACTTCGTAAGAGTTACAAACACATCAGCCTTGGAAATTGGGGCTGGGGGAATAATCTAGAAATTTTTAGAAGCCACATTTCTCATGCTACTCCCCGCTTCCCCCAAAAGCCCTTGGCTCAGCAGTGTCCTCAGAGCCTGGGGGTAGCGACCCTTTTTGGTCAGGCATTTTCTGAGTCAGTCTGGGCAACTCCTTCCGGGGAACGAACTGAGTGAATTTCAGTGGCAGAGAACAGGCCCAGATCTGTCAATCTCCCCAGCATTCTCATCCCAGACAGGGAACCCCTCTGACCAGCTCAGAGGCTCCAGCGCCCCTTCTCTCAGGCACTGTGAACCTCTTGTCCCCCTCCCCTGGGAATCAGTCTCTCCCTTTCTAGACTTTGCCGCTAGTAGGTGGGGGTCCCCAGACACAGCCATGCTGTGCTTTGTGACCCAGTTCTACTCTGCATCAGACATTATGGCTGGAGACCTCTCAATCTTTATATGCATCCCATTTTACAGATGAGGCAACTGAGGTATGTCTAGGCAGCTGTTCAGGGAAAGACGACAGAGGGTGAGGATGCAACTGAGACATAAGCTTCGGGAACCTGACCCCACCTCCCCACCTGCCAGGCCCACTGACCAAGGTGCTGGCAGCTCCTGTCAGTCTTGTGGTCTGGTGACCAGTCCCAACGTGGATGGAGGTTGGGGGTCGGGGAGCTCGACCTCCCCCCCGCCCGCCTGTCCCCGGGGCCTGTCTCTCCTGCTCTGGTGCAGGCCCTCTAGGGCTGCCTGGTGTGAGAGGACGGGGAATCCCTGCTCAGCTGGCAGCGGGCTGCTGGAGGGAGCGGAAAGCAGCTCTCTGTGATTTATGGCGCTGGGGAGACTTCATCAACTCTGCCTGCCCAGCCTCAGAGAGCGGTGGGAGTGGAGGAGGCTGGCAGCCATGGGGAGGGAGTGCTCTCTTTGGCTGCCAGGCAGAAGGGGCTCCCTGCAAGGCTCCCCCAAGGAGGGAGTGAATGCAGAACCCCTTCCCCTAGAAGATGAGCAAGATTCCCTGACAACTCCTGGGTGCAGGGCTTAGCCAGGTATCCCAGCACCCTGAGGGCCCCAAGACGGAGGGCAAGTGTGTGCTCAGAGATGCCTGCACACAACACAGCCCAGGCCCCAGACACTGGGGAGCCTGGGACCCGCAGAGCTCGCCCTCCGGCCCTGCACGGAGCAGGCTGTCCGGGACAGAGGCACTGATGTGGCCTTGCTCTGGGTTGGTGGTTTCTCCGGTGGCCTGTCTCCTCCTTATGTACAAGGACAAGAACAACTCTCTCTTGCCTCTCCCAAACAGTGTCCTAATCACACGAGGCGGCTGGTCCAAGAGGGGTGCAGGAGGGGGTGGAGATTAAATGGGATAAAGTCACAATCTGAAGCGCCAACAATGGGAAATGCTGGCGATGGCCTCGTGCATGGTGGGTCAGTGGGAGGGATTAGTCTGCAAGTCTGAGGCGGCCTCCCCCCTCCCTGCTTCAAGGTCAGTCTGCTGAAGGACCTCAGGGTTTACAAGACCATCCTGGGTTTACAAGGAGCACTGGTCCAGCTGACCTGAGGTCCAGGTGGCCCCCAAATGGGCCAGGCACACATGCCCTATGCTCTGGGAGAGGAAAGACAAGGGACAGGGGGCACCCTGAGGTCCCCAGGTTTGTCCCATGAAGGCCTCACGACAGCAACACCTGGTGATAAACCTCCAGATTGGGGCTTTGTCCCCCTGAGCACTCACTTTTGCAGCCATACACTGAGTACTTGCTGGCCTGGACCTGTGCTGTGGAAATGACAGCAGTGACATGGCCAAAGAGCAGAAGGGTATGCCCAAGTGGGGAGCCCTTCTGCGGGGGTGATGCCTCAATCAACACTGGAAGGAATCTGTCAGCAAAGAGGTGAGTAGGAAAAGCACACACACGGCACCCCCAGATAACCCCAAATTGGAAGCAGCCAGCACATCTAAGGAAGGTGTCCAGCATCCAGTATGAGTGGCACGGGGGCCAGATGGGCAAAGACAGCACGTGACCACCAAAGGGACACGTTAAGTACTGTCAAGTCGGAATGGACCTATAACTGACTCTCCACTGAGAGGCAGTAGATTGCACAGGAAGAAACTGCCTATCTTTCTCCCATGGAGCAGCTGATGGATTTGAACTGCATAC